TAGAACTTTTCTATGGATTAGTGAATGGCAAATTTATTAAAAAGAAATTTCTGGCTATGAAATGGATTATTAGAATCGACATCCACTATTCCCAGGAATTATGCTTCCGAGGAATTGCGGTGTAACGGCATGTGGTACACTATTCACATGAATGGCTAGGGGGATTGATGCCCGTGCTCATTTCCGTCTACACCGACCGAACCAGTATTCCTCTGGTGTCACTTAATCGGTGCCAGAATAGACTAGGAGGATAAAGGCACGGACTTGGGCAGCTACTGGCCAATAAAATTCATTCTGAACCATGCCATATCCTCATTATAAACCCCAACATTTTGCACAATCTACCAGTCAAATCTGGGGCGCATTCCTTAAAATGTGATCGACAAAAGCTGAGAATTCGGTCCTTCATTAGTTCAATATCCTCTTGCTCTGAGCCCATCTAATTTCTTGAGAAAAATCATCAAATATCATATCTTTACATTTAGAAGTCGTAGCTGAAGAACTTCTGTTACTAGCTACAAAGGGTGTGAGACAGCTAATAAAACAGATCTTTCCAATCGTATACAATAAAATCAGCCAAAGTTGGGCAAAGCTTATGATATTGGAATTACATTACCGCCTACGATCAGTGAAAATACAAAATACAAAAATTAAGGTCTAGAAAGATGTCATTATCTTAAAGACACCGTTCACGATTGAAAAGTTATTGAGTTCTTCCCTTATTAATACTCAGCGGCACCCATGGGTTGTAGAAGGGACCCTCTCACTCCCCCAATCTCGACGTCCAGGGCATAATGGCAGCTCCGTTGTTGCCGTAGTTCGCGTCTCCGCCCCTCGATCGGTGTTACGTTAGACGAGTGTCGAGACGACACAGTGTCATGTAACCGCGTCAGGACCCACCCTGAATTGCAAATTGGCAAATTACCAGAGACGCAATGTGTTGTCTGCTATTGCAGACAACACATTGCGTCTCTGGCAATTTGCCAACTTGCCCAAACACTTTCTAACCGACGTTCTTTCAATGTGAAACTCGTCCAACCCCCTTTCCAGCTCTTTTTTTGGCCCCTTGTAATTCTTTTTGTTCATCGTTTTTTTGCGCTTTTTTCGTAGTTATCGCTTTATTCTAGAGTAGTTCTATCAATTCCCGTCAAAAAAAAGTACCCTAACTTTTTTGTGAACGGTGCCTTTAAGCCACAACGTATAACAAAAATTACGATGGGAGTCATTAAGTATAATTACAATGCTGTAAATGGAAACGGTTAGAAAAGTTGTTTGAATGTATCGGTTACAAACTTCTGTCAGACAGCTTCTCTTGCTCAAAATATTTTTCTCGTGGCCTATTTCAGTAGTGTGTTTATAATATACAATCGTCAATTAAAATCTCGTTCACATTACTTAAAATTCCGTCGTCACTCCTGGACTGCACTTACATAACATGAATGCTGTTGAACCAGTTTGAAATAAAGCTTTCGACGTTGATCAATTCCGTTTTTGGGATGGGCCATGCGATCGATTTCTATTCAGAATCGTAGTTGTGTATGACTGCATATAGAGCCAATACTATGACTTGCTGGAGGCCAGTCCATGCATACGGCAGTGTTTTTACCCTCCCAGATTAATCTATAATAGTAGCAATCTAACACAAGGGATCCACTCCAAAGGGATAAAGGGCTTTTTTGGCCTAGGTGGGATCGAACTAGAATTCGAAGTTTTCGTTGGTCTCTGAATAATCATAAAGCATGACCCTAACCCCAGAATGTTTGTAAAATCGTATCCTATGTAGGCTTATCGTTTACTTACTTAGGAATTTGATAGAGTAATTTCTAAAGCAGCTAATGTCACAGTCAGATTTTGCAATGTCATATAGAGAATGTTTTTAGTGGCTTTTTTCAATACTCATTAAAACTACTTTGATACAATAATCAAACAATCAGTTACTAGAAAGACCAGTTATGTTGTTACGACTATTACGAGAAAAGCAGTACTGATTGGTGAATATTCTAAGAGTAAACAAGGTGAAAACGATTTATGTACGTCTCAGGTTGACATCTACATATTAGCCAATGCCTGTAGAAAACACAAACACGAACAAAGGCCTATTCAACGTGATTCAGAATCAACGTAAAAACGTCTTTTTGCTTAGTCAGAATACAATTGAACGGTAAACAATGTTAATTTTAACAGAAAACTTTATATACTGTCAGCAGTACACCACTACTATCACCGGTCGTCCCTTTGATCATCGATTTCTTCGAGCGGGAGCCCGTAACGTCTCCATTCATCATCCTTCGGATTCAGATCAGTCTCTTGAATCGTCCTAGCTCGAGGTTCACGAAGTATAGTACTTCTGTCATTTAGAGCTTCGGTGTAGGAGTCCGAACACCGCACTACCTGCCGTCCTCGTGTTTGTTTGAAGCCCCGAACAATCCAGTCAATAACCACCCTGGTCCTGTAGTCATCACAATATTCCACATGTCTGCCCACCTTTGTCCCTTGGCGTAAACAGCGGCATTCTTGACTTTGTTCGTTGGCGCACTTCGGAACTCCGGTTCACCAACCCCCCCCCCCCCCCCCCCCCCCCCCCTCTCGTCGCTAGCCCCGTCGCGTTTGTTTTTTTTGTAGT